TCGATATTCAAAACCACGATCAGCAATGCAGCGATTGGCTGGCGGCAAGACAGCAACACAATGACATCATATAATTAAAAAAAGACACCTGACGAAAAAAACTTGACAAATTTTTGGACTTTTATAAGGAAACAAAGCGAACAAAACTACATAAATGTTATAATAGATAAATTATTTTTTTTATTTTATTTTAATTTTTTACATGATTCCCAATTATTTATATTCACGATTTCTAATATTTTACATTTTTATTTCAATGTAATTAGCAATTTGTTTAATTTTATATTTGAACAGATTTGTTATGTGACAGCATTAATTAAAGTTTCTTAAGGGTCAAGATCGTGTTATCTGCATCTCCTGCGCTCCACCAAGTCACTCCCATAATAGCTGTCAGAACTCAAATGAATGCACGACTCTACATTATCTGTATAGCATCCGTGTAAGACTCGAATACAATTATGAAGTAATAATTTTATGACGAATAAATCTTTCAGTGAGTAAAACTGGCTGTCTATAGTATTAAAGACTACACAACATTATTATATTATCTTTAAACTAATTTTTAAATGATTATTATTTTAAATTATTGTCCCTGGATCAGTAGGGTACTCTTATAATTAAGTAGCAGTGGTAGGGGACAGATTTTGAGTATCAATTCTGCTTAAAAAGATGCAATCTAATCCTGTTTACATGAAACAAGCCTGCTCCCTAGCAGGTTTAAGTTTACGGATCTGTTGCTATGACAGCAACTCCGGGATGAGCTTCGAAGAACCAAACAATCCAAGATCATGCTAAATCATCAACATTCAAATCCAGCTAACTGAATTAGCGACATACGAACTATGGGCCCCATGTTTCTGTCTTTTGTTTTGGTTTAGTTCCTGTGTGCCCTTATTTGGTTATGTTCCTGGTCTTGTTCAGCCTTGATTAGTTTACCTCCTTCACCTGTTTCTAGTTAATTATCCTCGTTTGTCTATGCATTTAAGTTGCTCCCACACAAGCCGAGTTTCCATCCAAAGTTGCAAATTTAACTTGTGCGCAAAATTGGAATATCGCATAAAACATTTGTGAACAAGCACTGTTTCCATCCAATGAGTCAGAGAGAACAAAATCGTCGCTTCCTGATGAAGCTTACGGACCTGTTGCTATGACAGCAACTCCGGGATGAGCTTCGAAGAACCAAACAATCCAAGATCATGCTAAATCATCAACATTCAAATCCAGCTAACTGAATTAGCGACATACGAACTATGGGCCCCATGTTTCTGTCTTTTGTTTTGGTTTAGTTCCTGTGTGCCCTTATTTGGTTATGTTCCTGGTCTTGTTCAGCCTTGATTAGTTTACCTCCTTCACCTGTTTCTAGTTAATTATCCTCGTTTGTCTATGCATTTAAGTTGCTCCCACACAAGCCGAGTTTCCATCCAAAGTTGCAAATTTAACTTGTGCGCAAAATTGGAATATCGCATAAAACATTTGTGAACAAGCACTGTTTCCATCCAATGAGTCAGAGAGAACAAAATCGTCGCTTCCTGATAAACTGGCACTGAATTTTTTTTGCGTATGACTTAAAAAACAGGCTTAACATAATAAATTCAGGCTTGAAATAATAAATTAATTGCTTGTTTTAAACTTTTGTCCAGTATATATATTTTTTTTAAAGTAATGATATTCGTAATATTGATTACTTAATATTGTAGAAACTAAGCCCTAGAGAGTACAGTTATCCTTAACAAAATTAAGCCATCAAATTAGACAGGCCTTGCTCCTGCTAATACGGAATAACATCAGTTAACTGTTTAATGTTTGACATTCATGAGTCACTTTCAACAGGTGTCACTGTCAGCACTCAAATGCGAGTCAGTCACATTAGCAGGACACATTAAATTTCTGTCTGGTGATTGTATTCATGCTCTGGTGGTATGATTAATGGCTGGTTCTTCTGCACTGTATAGTGACACTTCAAGGATGGAAGTCCATTACTCATCCCTTTAAATCTTTTCAAATAAAAGGAAGTCAATGCTCAGGACATGAGGTTCAACCAGCAGAAAGGCAAAGGAGGAGCTTTCATTACCCAGTGACCTTTGCAGCCGTGCATATAAATACAGTGTCATTATCTCATTCACCGGTGTGGGCTGGAAACGCAGCGCTGCTCGTACTGTAATCATCGGTGTTTGAGCGGGACCCTAATGAGGACAGTCACTTCCTGTCCTTGTTCTGCAGCACACTTTTCCTTTCAAGGTCGCTTCTGAGAAGTGGATTTTAAAAGTAAGAATTATCCGACTTTAATTCCAGTCATGCCTGAGAGAGACAGAGATTGAGCCGCTCCACGTCTCCATGGTGATTCACAACACAACCGGAATGATGAATCTGGTATTTCAGTGGGGCTTCCAGGGTCATCAAAAAAAAACTTTCTTCCAAGACATCAAAACAAAAACGAACTTGCCACACAAACACACACATGCACAAAACACAGCCTTAAGAAATTCACAAACGCATGCCAGTCATAAGGCCATCCTCTTATAATTTTTTTGCAAAACTTGCTGCGATGTGTAACCTTGCGAGAATAAAATATGAGTGCGCTCCGGGCTCAACAATAAGGATTTCGGTCAGGTCAGTGGAGGCAAACATGAAAAAATGTGTCTATTTTTTTAGCAACATTTTGAAAGTTATCCTAAATTCAAGCTTGAAATGTAAAGAATATTTTACAGTTCTTGAATTCAAATCCTGGAGTTAAAAAAACATAATGAACAGTTTCAAGAAACCATTTTACAGCTATTTTATGCTTGACACAGTCTGCTAAAACACAGCATCCATGGTAGCAAACAATGCCTAAAAATGTGTTATTAACAGAAATAAAACTGAAAAATACTAGTAAACTAAACAAAAATTTATACTAATTAGCATTTCTTTACAATATTTTTATTTAAAAAACATACATTATATTATTATATATAATATAATGAATAAAACATTATATACTTTTAAAAGTTAAGATTATTTAATAAAAAAAATTGTTATTAATATTTTCTAATGTTATTAATATGTAACAATAAATTATCCAGCTAAAATGTATTTCTATACAGGACACTTGGCATGTAATTGTTTTTAAACATTTAAAAAAAAAAAGTAAAATCTTAATTTTTCCAAATTTTTTCGAAAATACTGTACACACACACACACACAAATATTTTAGAAAAAGTAAATAATTATTTTTGGATTTGAACTATTATGACACATAGACTGTTTCGTCTCTTTGGTATTGTCAGCATTCTTGAAATAAAAAATAAAAAAGAATAAAATAAAACCTCAAAACTCTTCAGAGTCAGACAGCGTTGTGTCTCTGTCCTTCAGGTTAAGCTGTGTGTCAGAGACTCCCAGCAGCACACACCTCTCTCTGACACACTCCTGTCCCCTACAGTGATGTAAGCACACAGGATCCCGATTCAGAGTCACCTCAAGCACCCCTCAGTGTCCTCACTCACCTGCTGTCAGGACTCGTCCTGTCATGTAAAAACACTTATCGTTATTCACTGAAAATCTTGTCCTCATGTCTCAAAGCTTATTCGTATCCACATTTATTCAGATATGCCGTGGCATGAGGTTTGACGTCAGTGATGCCATTGTTGTTGGTTCTTTTGTGTCTGCACTGATAGTGATGTGAATGATTTGAGAGGAAGATTTTCAGTGAGTAAAGAATTACACTGTGGTCTTTCTTTTCTCACATCTTACAGACCCCAAACTTTTAAACAGTAATGTGTATATAATCAATTTATAAGTGCAATATATGCACTTTTATGAGCGTATTGAAGGCAATATTGTAACATCACTCAATGTTCGACTGACTAAGACGTGGGCTAAAAAGTGATTCCAGCACTCCTGCTGTTCCCTTGAATGTACCGTCACCGGCTCCTACTAAAGCTCATGAGTCTGTGACAACTGCAGCAACCATGCAGCGAAACATTAAAAGCTACAAATTTCAACAGCAACATCGCTGTTCATTTGAACACCCACTAATGAAAAGGCCAATCCTGAATACCAATTGAAAACGCTTCCTCTGTATAACTGACACCCCTGCTGCAAGCTTTGTTTCCTTTTGGAGGAAAGTGACGGAAACAAAATTGGCCACAAAAAAAAGTGAGGCTGTAAAGCTGTTTGTGAAGTCTGGCAGATGTAACAGACAAATTAACACACTTTAAAACTACTTTTACAAACTAACTACATTCAGACTTCTTTGAAACTTTTGCCACTGTGTTCTAGAGTTACTTACAACCAATAAAGTCTTTTAACAACACGTCCACACTGCATATAGAGACTCAAAAACCCACAAAATATCTTTGTGTTTTACAGTCTGTGGATGATAAATATTTACAGGCATTCAGCGCATATCCAGCCCCTGGCGTGCGCTGCCACTCTGAATAAACCAAACCTCAGGCAGCGAATAACCTGGTTTATGTAATATATAAGGTAATAAGAGATGTGTCTTTGCTATACTGTAATGGCCTTGCACTTCCCTCCAGCTGTAAAAGTTGCAAAGCGTGCTGGGCTGCATTTTAAAGCCCAATAAATATTTCCACTCTGTGATGAAAGCACAAAAAATCATTTCCAGATTCACCACGGTGTCAAAATTTCTGTGTCGTTGTGTGTAATTTCATTTCGGAGTCGTCTAGCGAGCGACAGACCGAGAGAGAGAGGCCGGTCTCCAGATGGTAAACGTAAAACGGCTCTGTCAGATCAATCAAATAAAGATACAGAGAGAGAGAGTGACAGCTCAGAACAAACCGATTATCCACAACAGCAGACTACATGTTAATGGAGGGACATGTAAACAGGTATGCTAGCGGGAGACTAAACTCTCATACGCAGTAATATAACAATACAGTATATAAATACTTTATATGAAGAAATTCAAAAGAGACCAGGGATGAAATCATGCATTCAAATGCATTAATGTACTAACTAGTCTTAACTCTAGCTAACCTTAAGCAACTGCTCCCAAACTTTTAGTCATATGTAACACCTATCCTTGCAAGGGCCATAATTTGCTAGTGTTTACATTGGAATACATTAAAAAAGCATGTAGATTTAAAGGAATTTGATTTTACATTACAATAAAAAATGTAACATACATTTATAACATACATAAGTACTTTTTATTTCGAACTTTTAATAAAATGTATTTTATTTAAATATTTTCTTTTTCTTTTTTTAGTATATTTAATATATCATAATTAATTATAATAAATATAATTACTATAAATAATACACATTTATAATACAACTTAATTTATTAGAATTGAATATAAATAAAATATTTTTAAAAAGTTAATTAATATTTAATTGCATTATTATTTAAACATTTAAATAATAATAAATAATTCATATTTTCCTTTTTAACATTCATCATTGTATATATACAAATGTTTGGGGTCAGTATGTTTTTAAAGTTTGTTATTACCACAAAGTCTGCATTTATTTGATAAAAAATACAGTGAAAAATGTAATATTGTGAAATATTATTATAATTTAAATAACTGTTTTCTGTGTTAATATATTTTAAAATTGAATTTATTCCTGTAATGTCAAAGCTGAATTTCAGCATCAGTCTTCAGTGTCACTTGATCTTTTAGAAATTATTATAATATGCTGATTTGCTGCTCAAGAAGCATGTATTATTATTATCAATGTTGAAAACGGTTGCTTTGCTTAATAGGATTCTTTGATGAATAGAAAGTTCAAAAGAACACCATTTATTTGAAATCTTTAAACTCTTTTATAACGTTATAAATGTGTTTACTGTCTCTTTTGATCAATTTAATGCATCCTTGCCAGATAAAAGTATTATTTTTTTTTAAATGTTACTCACCCCAAACAATATTGCATTCAATTAATCATCTCAAAGTTGCACAGCCCTGACTTGACCTTGAATATGCAGTACTGGCCCCACATTTCATTTAAGATACATTTCAAATATCTAACTTGAAATAATCCATAAATATTCTAATACCTAACCATAACAACTCCACACTCAAACCCCTCGTTATTCTGTGGTTTTATTATTTATTTTAAAATCATATAAAAATGGAGTACAAAATATCATTTAAGAATGAGTCAGAGATCACAGAAGTGTATTTCATTTGGGCTTTGTGTACTTACTGGAGGGTCCTGATCTTCTGCAAGCACAGTTGTGATGACAGTCCCTTTCTCTGCATTTGGAGCCACCAGCCCTTTATAGAGTGCCTGTCTGAAGACCGGGGAGAAGTCATTCACATCCTGAAAGAACCCATAGACAGAGACATGGATGAAAGATGTATTAATAACACTCATTAAAGCAGGACTGAGGTAAGCAAGGCCCGCTGGCAAAGTGATTCTGTTCTGTCTGCTGTCTCCACTTTAGTGAGGAGTGACATGATGATAAATAGAGTATTAATCAGCTTATGGACGCTGCTGTCTATCCCCACCGACCACTACCACTATCAAAGAGCACTTACATGTTCTTTCAAGGTGTTTTAAAGTCAACATGAAATCAAACATTACTTTATTATACACTATGCACATAATGTAAAATAGGCTGCAAAAACAGTGTAATGACTTATAGTTTGTCCATGTAATATTTCAAATTGTTACATATAAAAAAAAATAAGTAGTACTTTTGACACAAGTATGTTTAAAATGATGCACACTCACTGAGCTTACTTATGTTTTTACATATATACACTGTTATATACACACGTAGTACACATAGGTTTTGTGTGTGTGTGTATAGATAGATAGATAGATGGATAGATGTATATAAACCTAAATACTAATATTAAAAACAAAAAATGAATAAAAATGCCAAAAGCACATAATATTACAGTAAATTAAGTCAAAATAAAAAAAACTGAACATATAAAAATAGAAGCTAATGCAAATTATTGATTTATTGTATGTAATTCATTTTTACTATATTTTTTATCAAATAAATGCGGCCTAAGTGAGCATAAGACAGAAAAATGTAAAGAATATAAATTACACACACAAATACACAAATACACACGTGTACTACGTGTGTGTATACATAACAGTGTACACAGCCTAACAGCAATGAAAATGAAACCTCAATTGGTATATATATATATATATATATATATATATATATATA